AATAAACATATAAATGTAATTGAATACAAATGAAAATGTATTGGGTGTCCATGGGCTTGACCATTTGGTCTTGGTCTTTATTGGTCTTGGACACTTTTTGGACCATTGTCCATATTGGACCACCCAGTATTGCCCATATCTCAAATGGTCCCTTTGGTCAAGCCCATTTGGCCCATGGACAGACCATTTGACAGCTCTATCTGCTTGAACTGTTCTTAGGAGGAGCCAATGGTTTTCTCTCCATTGTGATTACCTCAGAGGTGGGTGTTGTCCAGAAGAAAGTTGACTCTAGAGACATGTTTGAGAGCATTGTTCCCACCATAACAAGCAGCATTATGAAGGCGAAAATGGCGGTGGAGAAGACCGGGGCATTCGTGTACTTGAGCTGTTCAGAGAGACTCTTCTTATTGCTATTATCCTTCTCCATTGTTACACAATGGCTTAGAACAGAGAGGGGAAGTCAAAACCTCAAAAGGATGAAAGTTTTATGAGTTATAATATTAAAATCTGTTTTAAGGTGTTTTGGTGAGAGGTAGAATTTATCTATTCTATTTTTTTATAGGCTATTCTTGATTTTATGGCTTTAAACAAAACAAACTATACAAATATGAAATAAATGTACATTTTTATTATGATGTTAGGTCAATCTTATGTATGAGTTTGGTTGTCATACAGATAACATATGATTCCACTTGTGGGATATGCAGAAGATGTGCGTACCACTAACTTGTAGGAATGCCATATTCTTTTGTTCATGTTGAAGATTTTTAGTACTAAAGACATATCTAAACATTTTATATAATGTTACAATGATTGGACATCTGTACAATTATTCATCAATACTAATGCATGTTCATAGTTCTAACTGTATTTTCATTTTTCACATATGCTATCTTTCAGTTTTTCAGCGCAATGTTGCTTTAAAAAACTAACCTCTTGAACTTAAAAAAAAAAAGATTAAGTAATTAGTGATTCTAATTAAATAGTTTTTGCCAAACTCTTTAATGATTTTTTGTTGTTGCCAAACTCTTTAATGATTTAGTTGATTTTTTTCTTTGCCAACTCTTTAATAGTACTAATCGATTTATGCTGAAGCAAAGTGCTAAGTTAACAGAGATTTCATTAGATGAAATCTGGAAAGCATAGTATATGTTATGGTTATCAAGATGACTCTTTATTTTCCATCGAGTTTGTTGGAGCACTTCTTGTTACTCTCAGATTCCCTGAAATGCTACGCCTTATGTTTTGCAAGTACAACGAAACAAAATGTGTTGTTTGGTGAGTAAAATTAACAAGAACTTGCACGTTACAACTTAAGGAACAAGACTCTGTACCATGTGTTTGTTAAAAAAAAAAGACTCTGTACCATGTGTTTCAAGGCAATGTCGAGAGACGACCTAGAGATAGTATTTGAATGCACATCGGCGTTGACTGATAGGACGTTTGATATTTGAATGGACAGACCAATGAAGCAGCCTCGTATACCGTGGTATCTTTTTAAACACATCTTATTGGACAATTAGCTGATTAATTGAGCTTTAACCTAAAAAGCCCACGAAGGGTTGTTTTGCTAAATTTTGGACATAAGAACAGATATTTATTAGTGGTACTGAATATTTTTGACATGTTTGATTGTTGATCACTAGAAAGGAAATTTAATAACCCAATTATTCATAATTTCTTATTAACTGCTCAGAAAATGATTAATCATGAAAAGAGAACTTTAAAAATATAAGATGGGAGATAAAGCATTCATATAGATAGTCCATCGAAAACACAAACATAATGAACATTTCAAAAAATCTTCTCAACACTTATCTTCATCAAGACTCACCCACCAGACTAAATCTCTCTGACAAGTTTGTGTTCCAATATTTGAAAAACTGAATAAAATAACTGTCATCATTTTTAAGATGAGAAAATGCCTTCACCCATTGCAGCGGCAACATTGTTCATTGGTTGATGTCCCAAGTGAATAGCATTTGGTTGTTCTGAAAAAAAAATTGATCACATTAGTTTTGTGTTTGTGTAATTATTAATGTCACTCTATTTTTTTGGCAATCTAAATGTCAATCTAATTAACAAGTAATGTGTAAATCTAATATATACACATACTCCCTCTAAAGTAAGTTTTTCTAGATTTTATTTTTGTTTCATAAAGATAGATTTTCTATATATTTAAGATATATTGTATACTTTTAAGAAACATTAATTGGATATACTTAATTAATTAAAAATAGTATTAGTTAATAATTATTAGAAAGAGTAATAAAAAATAAATTTAATTATAAATATTTATTACATTCTTAATATACTTGAATATTTTAGAAAATATTTTTTTCCAGAACGGAGGAAGTAGAATTTAACTCACTTTGGGGGAGTTTGTCAACGAAGAAACAAATGGCGATGATGATATAGCAAAGTAAGAGAACCAATCCCTTCATGTAGTGAGATGTTCCATCCTGAATAACCACACAAAAATATACTTGAATTAGTAAATCATTCATTAATTGATTTGTATAAATGGATAGATAATCTTTGTAAAATGTTGGAAAATGTTTTAACCTGTAATGTGAAGGCTGTGATGATAATGGAAAGAGCAAGAGAACCAGTTTCAAGAAGATTGAAATTGAGATCCATGTTAATCCCTAGAATCCATGCCACGATAACGGTCAATGGGACGACGAATAAACCAATCTGAGTTGCAGATCCTAACGCAACTCCCAAAGATATGTCCTGCAAATTATTTCCATTAAAATTGAGTTTAGGCATTGTATCATTTTTTTGGTTAATCCACAAGTTTTTTTTTTAATAAACTCACAAGCTTGTTCTTGAAAGCGAAAATGATGGCTCCAGCATGTTCAGCTGCGTTTCCAACAATAGGAAGCAATATGATACTTATGAAACTCACTGATAGTCCCCATGATTCCGATGCGTTCTAACCAAAAGTAATGCCATATAATTAAGTTTATTCATATGTATATTTATATGATCATCAAGACTCAAAAAAAGCTCGAGCAATTCATGTTAAAAGTTATGAACTAGTTCTTTCATCGAAATTCATGAGACTATAACAAAAGTTACCTCAATGGTGGCCACAACATACTCCGATAGCAATGCAATGACAAGAGTCATCCCAACCAACCATGCAAACCCACTCCAAAAGCTAATCACAGCGGTCTCCTCCTCAGCGACATTGTCATCATACTGGTCATCCTGAACCAAAGTTACATTTTAAAAATTTGTTAGAACAAGAAAAAATCGACTCCTTCTCTTTATTATCTTACGTGTATATATATATTTCTCTACCTCATCTTGTGCGTCAAACAATTGGCGGTGAGTCCAAAGCTGGAAAACCAGATATGCGATGTAAGCGATCAACATAACAATACTGCTGGCTCGTGACAGATTCAGTGACATGTCGGCAATCAAACTAGCTGGAGTCTCTCCGTTCGCAACGTATCCGAACAGCATTGGCAGCAAGTGACACAACAGTCCCATTAGAAGTAAGAAGAAGTTCACATCGGCTTGTTTCTGCAACAATAAAAAAAAAAGAACATCACAAAATCAGTTCACTTGGTACCTCACGTCCATTACCTAAATTTAGCTATAAATATTTGATTATTTATAACTTAAATAACCCTAATAATTCCGCTTTAGACTAATCAAACAAAACCTATTACATTTTAGGTTCAGTTAGGTTAAAAAATAAACAAAATGCTGTACTATTGGTTTTGACTTCTGATATAATCAGAGTACACATAGGGAAGGGAGACTATACCCGGTCGAACCGTTGCTCCCTTCGGAGATTAGCAATTCCACCACAGAAGAGTGAAGTCCCGAGAACCAATAGAAGGTTCGACAAAATGGAACCTAGCAGCGAGTATTTAACCACTGCGACTTTGTTGTTGGTCAATGCAAGAATCGCGATTATCAATTCGGTAGCGTTTCCACAAGTCGCGTTCAATAAGCCACCCACTGCGGTTCAAATTACACACAAAATAATTGAGTTTCTAATGATAAAATAAGTTACTTGCTGTGTAGATTGAAAACAATATATGTATAGGCAAAAGAGACGTTACATGTAGGACCGGTGTAGAAAGCTAGTTGCCTGCATGGGAAGCACGAGAGATGTTAATGTAGACTTTAACCACATGAATAAAAATTATAAAATCACTAAGAAATACATTTATATAAAAATGATTCGAGATTCTAATCTAGTTGAATATTAAAAGGATAAAGTTTTGTACTATGTTGTCACGTCGACATATGAGTGCGTGACTGATACCCAATAATGCGATGACGAATTCCCAAAGAATATTGGTCCATTTATTTCAAAAAAGCAAAGTAATAAACGAACAAATGTATGGTGGATTCGACCTAACTAGTATAAGATTCGTAATAATCCTCAATTTCAAATAAAGTACTGACAAAGTTGCAGCGGGTTAAATCTTGACATAAAATATTGATTTAACGTGATATTTAATTTACAGATGAATAGATACGATTTCATTCCATAGACAGTTGGCTAAATCTTGTCTTGATCGAAAAGAAAAACCGTAACGTGAAGAGTTCAAATAAATAAAATGTAAAGGAATAGGATAAGAATGAAGTACTTGGATGAGAATGAATCAAGTACTTACTCTGTCAGAAAGCTGACTCGTTCAGCCAGAGGTGTGAGTCCTAGCATGCTCAGCCCAAATATCCACGGCTGTAAAATTCGCAATTTTAACATAATGTTAAGTATGTTCATATATGGTAATTAATCATTTGTTAATTACGTGGCATTAAACCAAATCATTAATCTCAAAACGCTTAATGATTGCAGAACCGATCACTTAAATTCTTCCACTGAATACTCTCCCGTAGTTTAATGTTGAGTAATAATTTAAACATTGCGTAAATAATGCCAAAATATATTAAAACTTAACCACGATTTCCCCATTATTTGCTTTCATTTAACGAGATGAGAAGTTTGGCAATGTTCTGAGTATTTTAGTTTACGAGAAATCGATAATCATGCTGACAAATCTAACCTGGCTGAAGCCGCAATACGTGCCGATAATTGCGGCAGGTATGGCCGGGAAAAGAATGGCTAGCTTTGTGCCGAGAATAACTTCTTGGAGATTAGAGAGAAAATCTTTAAGACCTTTGTATGGAACCTTTTGGATCACTCTTATGTCAGACTTCTTCCTCAACGAAGAAGAAGACATGTTGTGAGCTGTTCTTCCTCCATGTCTCAGCTCTCTGCTCGATCCCTTCGCTGTAATGTTTGCATTACCGTTCTCCGCTGATGACCACTGTTCAGGAACAATCCCTGCCATATCTACACTATTCACAAAATGTATAGTCTGAGTAACGATTATGTTTTTTTTTTGCTTTGCTGGTTATTATGCTGTGTGTTTATATATATAGAGTAGTACTGAT